TTGAAATATTAGAGAGTAAATTTGTTCAATAAAACAAACATTGGCTTCAACCACGACCTATAGGTGATTTCGGTATCTCCTACAACTCTTCTGGACAGTCTCCTTGTTTAAGTTGGTGAATGCTACCATAACCCTTGCCTTCAGTTTATCTTTGGTGTTACAAAGAGTTTTGTTGGTCTCACGCTTAACTGCGCCCCACACATAATAATCAAGGGGGTTGCAGGCTGGAGAGTTAGGTGGCCAGATGTAAAGTGTGATGTGGTCGTAGAAATTGTCTGACAGCCATGTCTGGGTTCTCCTGCTTGTATGACATAGTGCAGAGTTCTGTTGCTAGACACCAGCAGCCACCCTCTTGACCCATGGCAGCATTAACCCATCAAGACACTTGATGTAGGTCTCCGTGTTGAGTCTGAGGCCCTGTGGGAAGATGGATGCAGGCATAATGTCGCCATCACTATTGATAACTCCAAACGACATGATGTTGACTGACTATATCATCCAGCTCTTTCTGAATCCTCTGAACTATACTCAGATTGACACCCAAACATTCTGAAATGTTCGTATTGAAGCTTCCGGTGCGAATGCCAAGCAGTACAGCATGCCGTTTTCAAATTACTGGCGGAATGAATTGCGTCATGGTGCTGTTATTCTCACAGACAGTGCCCAACTAAGCCTATATACTGGGCAGTCGACAAAATAAAAAACAAACAACGCGCATGCGTGAAATTAAAAATATAAAATGGTGACAATTTCCTCATCGCACATAAGGAGAGAGAGACAGAGACAGAGACACAGAGACAGAGAGATTGCTTCAATTTTCTTCTTAATCTGTGAGGAGATTGTCCAGCATTCACTGTCATAAAAGTGCACTTAAGTTTATATTAGCAGTTCAACACTTAATCTTTCTTTCTGACGAACATTTTCCGTTTTTTTTTTTAATTCTGTTCTCAAAATGTAAACCTAAATGGCAACTAAAAATTATTTACTTGTCTCCTCAATGCAGTCAGTCAGTTTTGTGCCATGATACACGCTTAGGCGATCACGTATCTTTCGATATATGACTGACGAGGCAGATTTTTTTCCCTTTTTCTTTCTGCGGTAGACCAGTTGCCATCGAAGGCTATAAAACCCAGTCTATCTTGCTATTTACCCATACCTGGAGGGAGGAGAAGAGTACTCATACCTTTCCCAAGGGTATTAGCATGTAAGTGAATGTAATGGATTCGACTGGAATTCGAACTCGGCTCTCCGATTCCTCAATCCGAGCCGCTATCCATTACTCCACCGTCTAATTTTCCGTTCAAATAATCGTTACCATTTTGCGTATTTCTGGCATATGTTCTATTTTAATTTCTTCGTTATTAATATTTGCAGACATGATTTTTGTCTTAAATATTCCTTTAACGTGAACAGATTCCGTTTGGAAAAAATGTCATGATCAAAGGACATTTGTTTTATTTGTTTGTTACCATTGATCCTTTTCGAAAAATAACTATCGCGGAAAATGTTTCGTTTTAACACACCATTATTACTACGTTTGTATTGAGTTCGATCCTCACTAAGTGCACTAAATATTTTGTTAGACTAAGCTTACTAAATCATTCTTCCTCTCAAACCATTTATTCTTTCTTCTTTTCTTCTTTGTCGTCATCCGGGTACACATTCTTTAAGTCTAGAGCAAAGCCACTTGATAGAAGGAGTACTAAAACTGTAACTGATTTTATTTTCTCCTTACTGACTTATCGGTTATCAGCCTGGCACGTTGAAAGATCAAGTCATGTCCTTATATAGTCTCTTTAGGTTTAGACTCTCATGCGGATGTCATACATGTCATCCAGCTCATTCAGAAATTCCGAAGCAATCACCAAAGGTTTTCTCAGGTGAATGATTAAAATCACTTTGAACGAATAAATGGTTTAAATCTTAAAGAAGACAGCACTTTTCATCGGACTTTTTTAGAAGGCACTAGAAAACCATCACAAAAGCGGGTATGACAAAGATCGCTGGAATACTTTCCAAAGCAGCATCACCAAAAATCTGTAACACATGTAAAAAGAAGAGAAAATGTTGATATAATCTAAATGTTAACATGTCTGAATGCCAAAAACAAAAGTTTGGAAAGAAAATCCTCTCAACAGCAGAAAGATTGATAACAGTAAATTTGAGATATCTATTTTCCTGAAAAACTGTTTTTAGAAAAAAAAAATCCGGTCAATGAATGACAAATATTTCCCAGATGAAAACGTCTATTTGAACAATTATCTTAACCATTTCCATAGAGTGACTCTTTTCTGCCTTCTGTCAGCATGGCTGATGCTAACCTCCAGGGCTAATGTTCTCTGCTGACATTAAGTGAAAAGATGATATTGAATCAATTGCTAGTTCTGCTGCTAGGAAATTTGGTTCACGGTGCCGTGACTGACAGTTTTTCTCATCAGAATCTATCTTACATATTTATAAGTTTACGATTCATCTATGCTTTGAATATTGCTGCCAATATGATCTGGTGCTCCTGCTATATATAGAGGGATTCTTGAGGATTCCCAAAGAAGAATCTGTAAGGTTACTGGACATGATTTCGGATTCAGTCCCTTTCCCATTGTCATAATGTAGATTCCCAGTTCCTTTTCTATAAATACATTCATGGTAATTGTTCTAACAAATGGTACCTAGACTTTATGAATTTAAGTGCAGTACATCATTTTAAAGTTGGATTTGCCAGACGTAACCGTAAGTTCTATGCTAAGAGTTTCTTTTTTTGCAATTCTCGCAATTCTTGCTGGGCAGCATGCATTCCAGTCAACATTGATCTTCAAAAATTTAAATACAATGTCAATCGTTATCTACTGTCTCCTTGATTCTTCTTTTTTTGATTTTTTTTTTTTTTTTTTTCCTAATTACTAAAGTGTTTCATTTTCTTATTCTTTCACATTTAGTAAGCCACATCCACTGCATCTTAGGGGCTTGCTTAGGGTGAAATGATTGAAAATTCATCCAGTCGATTCTGTAAATTATTTGTAATAAATATATTTCACTGTAAAATGAGGAACATTCCCAATGCATTATTATTTGACACTGAGGCCATGAAGTGGTTAAATGTTAAATGCGAGCAGGAAAGGTTAAGCCTAAAATAGAATATAAGCTGGAAAATAAAAAGCGGGAAGAAAGAGGATGGAGACATTTTCCTTGGTAGAGGTGGGGCCGTCTAGATTTCTTCTTTAGATTTTGTCGGATTGTCTCTCTTTTCCATTGTTGTCAGTTAATTAGATAAGTTGGGATAAGCGAACATGGGTCTGATGTCGGACCTGACTGGTCTGTGGATGGGAATGAGGGGGCACAAACCTTAAGTATCGGGTAAGTTTAAAAGCCTATTACAGGGATCCAGAGTGCCAACGTATAGATGGGACCTGGTGGTGTTAAAAAAGACTTGTTGACGGCGATTGAAAAAAAAACAAAAAAAAGCTCATCTACGAATAGTCTAAGGTGGAGACGGTGATTTTAGCGTACGGTGCAGCCGAGGGACCGGTTTCCCACTTTTTGCGGGGAGGGGGCATCTAGCGAGGGGCCTTGGTGGAGTTATAGAAACTGCTGCTAGATCAATACGCAGATGAGGGGATGGCGATAGAAGTTATGAGAAGCCTCATGAGACTCACCCAGGCAAGGGATGAGACTCCGAGAGGATTGCGGGCGAGAGCGACGAAATTGTCAGCCCTGAGGAAGTAAAAGGTAAGGCCGCCATTCATCAAAGTTGGTGGATTTGTTTGCTGGAGAACGAGTGCATCTGACATGATGTAATTAAGGAGGCCTTAACCAGGTTGTCAGTGGCCATAGATCTGGCCAAAGAAATGAGAGAGTTTGGAAGAAGACGAAAGGAAGAGAAGTTTGGGTTCGGAATCAGGAAGGTGGCAGGCAGAGTAAAGAGAAGAAATCCTCTGCCGTGAAAAAAAGACCCGGAAAAGAATAGGGTCGTCTGGAGAATTGTAAAACAAACCCCAATAGAAGAAAGTGATTCCTGAAGCATGGAAACAGACAGTGCATGTAGACAGATAGATGGGTGGGGAAAAGGTTACCCCCACCCTTAAAAGGAAAGCCCCTCTCCGAATTTAAATGATTCTCCAAGAAATGGTGCTCCAATAAATGATAGATGTCTTAGATGCGATGTGTGATGAGAAATCAAGTAGTAATTGCTAAAAGCAGCAAAAAAGAAGGGAGGGACAAGCTAATAAGAGAAAGAACATTCTCATAGGAGAATGTTGGAAATTATGGTGACGGGGACATTGGATCAGAAGTGGGAAACCTATTACAGAATATTGGAGCAGACGAGGCCAGTATGGTTTGTAATCTGGAATCAGATGGCTGGAAGAGTTAACTATCTAAAGTTATCCGAGGTAGATGGTTGGATAGGAGCTGAACCAAAGAACAAGAAGAGAAAGATGAGAAGAATAACTCTTGTGGAACCAGAGGAAATGGAAACAGATGAGGAGTCTGAGAAAGAAAGAAGAAGGGTGATGAATCAATCGCTGGTTGATAAGCACATGAGAAAATCAGAGAGACGGTCAATTGATGAGCATGAAGGAAAAGGGTTCAGAAGATGAAGGTAGAGACTTTTAATCAGAAACCTTCAAAAGAGGAAGAAAAGCTAAACGAGTGGGCAGAGGAGGATAAAATACTCCTGTACCAACTCCAAAAACAGTTAAGACGGAGAGAAAGAGTCAAAGGTTGAGCTAGGATTACCTATCAAGCAGAGATTGAGTGGAGGTGAACGCCCTAAATTCCAATAAGAAGAAATGCAATAAGTATTGGAAGAATGAGTTTGGGGGTCTGTGTGTCATCATGGAAAAGTGCACACTTTGGTGTGTGACGGCATCGAGCTCATTAGAATAACCTATCCCGTAAAATAACAATAGAAATTGATTGGAGAGGACGAAGGTGTAGATAGGACGTCATGGCGAGCGGGCAGACTTAGCGGTGCTGTCGTTGGTTTGCACAAGGGCCCGTGCATGCCAGGCGGTGGTATCGGTGAGATCTGGCCTTTGGGCGAAATCACCACACACATGTCCGAAGCTAATCAATATGCCGAAAGTCAGTTATCAACAGGGATAAACTGAACTGAAAAAAATACAAGAGAAAGAAATACGGTGGAATATGTTAAATAACTATGTATATTTACAAGCACTGGTTTTTCAACAGAATAAAGCAAGCAAATTCTGTTACATTTGCAGAAATGGTTGATATGAAGAGGCTGAAACTACTGATGATGATGATGATGATGATGATGACAGTAGGGGCCTGGAAACATAGCCAAAATACGATTTTCAAGTAAACGAGTGAAGTGCTAATAACGAGATCAAAATGGTTAGTCACTTTCGTGATAGATTTCAAACCACACGAGTTGCTACTAGATATATTAGGAAGTGAACTACTTAATGGCCACAGTGCGGGTAGCACAGAATTGTACACGAGAGGAACGGTACCTCAGGTTATTGTATTTCCTGAAGCAGGAGACTTCAATAATGGAATTCCAATGCAAGGATATAGAGTTATTTAAAGAGCATTTAACAGTTACAGAGAGATAAAAGAGCAGTAGTCCCTATCGTTAAGAAGGCCTTAAGTATTCTGTTCGGAACAGTGTCTGAAGAAGATGTTAAAATTATAAAGGAGAAGCTGAAAGAGGTGGAAAGGAATCGCACAGTTTTAGCCCAAGCAGTAACTTCTTTTGTCCCATCCTGTCGCCGTCCGTCCTTTCTACTTCAGAGGTGTCAGCTTCTATCCATTTGACTAGACTCCAAGATTAGGGCCGTAACTTTGGTTTCAGCTCACATCAAAAGTCTCTCTGTGTTCATTTTTTTTTTTTTTTGATTTCCCGGTCTTCTTTTATTTTTTTTTATTTTTATAACGGAAGTTATGCGTTGAGCCTCCTTGATTTTTGGTAGTTTTCAGTCTTAAATTAGTAGGCATTGGTCTCACAAACTTCCGGCGTTTTTCAGCCGGGTTAAGTCTTTTCTTCTTTCTCTTTTAATTTGAGGGTTGTCTTCTTGTTAGTTGAGAGAGAAATATATATATATATTTCTCTCTAAGCATATCACCCCAAGCAAGGCGGGAGTGCCACTATCATGCAAGGGGTTACAGAGAATGAGAGTAAGAGTAAAGAGGAGTGTTTGGGAAATGGATAAAGAGGAAGACAGAGATCAAGGTCAGAAGATGTCGATTGACATTACATTTGAATATTTGAAGATTATAGCTCTCAGGGAAGCAAGTAAGAGGAAGGGAGTTCCACAGACGGGATGTGCGAGACAAGAAGCTGTTGGAGTAGAAGAGACGGCTACATTTGACCGTTTCGACAGTGAAAGGGTGGCCCGAGATTCCAACCTTGTAAGACGCTTAAATTCATGCAGTTTGGAAAAGTAGCTCGTCAGAGCAGTTGCCATGAAAATACTTGTAGAAAAGACAGAGGGAAGCCACGGCACGTCTGTGAGAAAGTGACTGTAGACGAGATACCAGATCAGGACCTATCACATTAAATATATAGAGAGAGAAGTTTAGAGAGAGAGAGAAAGAAAGAGATAAGGGTTTTAAAAGAAAGCGCAAATGCCTTATTTTCATCAGAACTTCTCACAGCATAAGAAAAATTATTTTTACTTCTTATTAAACGAATAATCCAGAGACAAGTGTTCAAAATGTGTGCCTGAAGAGGGCATGTGTGTTTTTTTATTTATTTCTTCGGTGTTTTACCAGTTTTTACAGTTTTATGTCGAAGATAAAAAAAATATCCATAAAAAGATGATAAAAACTACAAGGGTTTCCGCGCGTTGTCATCGCTTATTTTGTTAAAACCTCGAACCACACACGTAAAAGGATCTTGATTTGTCAATTATAGACAAGATGCTGAGTTAGGCGTTAGCCGTTTGGCAAAAGAAGAGAGGGCCAAGGTGAGCCACATTGCCAAATGTATTCATGTCTTTGTTGATGTTTCAAATAAGCCCTACAGACGTGCGTAGTGCTTAGGACGCCCAGGGAAATCTCTTCAAACAGCGCAAGCGAAGAAGACAAAAAATTAAGATTTACAAATTAAATCCTCTGATAACTCCCACCTCATCAAAAGTGGCCACCGAATCATAAAATGAAACTGAAAGGCTAATTCCATGGCGATTGTGTGGGAAGCGCTCAGTCTTCCTTTATGTTTTTTTTTTTTTCAATAAAAACAGACGACATTTAAGTGCTACATGTTTCAAAGAAATCTTGGATTATTCCAGGGACATTTGATTGAAGAAGAAATTTTATTAAGGGCCATTTTATTATGGCGATGATTAAAACACAAGTTCACTTTGAAAAGCTTTTTATATCAATTCTTCCTAATTGTTTTTGTTATCTCTGCAGTATGGCATTTTTGTTGTTTTCGAGTAAGAATATTATCATTCAAACGAAGTAATTACTTTTTTTTAATGCCATGTCCCTTGATGTAATTGATCATGGCTCTTCAGAATTTTTTTTATTATCTACGAATTGCCAAGACTACTTGGAAAACATCGCATGAAGGTTTCCAGATTCTCTGTCTACAGTTTGGAATTCTGTGATGTTCTGCTCCTAAACTGGCTACCAATCAAGGCTAGAGAGCTTAGTCTATTCCGTTACGTTAGGCGGCTGTTGCTGTCTCTTGCAAGTGTCATCTATTTTTAAAACTCTTCTAGAAATTATAAACATTCATATTTATTGACTGATTATTTTTTTAATTTTTTATGGATTATCAACCCTCTGTCGGTTATTTAAAGCCGAAACCTAAAATGCATTGTAAGAAGATTTCTTTTTTATTGTATTAACAATTTAATGATTTTTCTACATACAAGTCATATTATTTAATCCACAGCAGGGGGGATGGATTCATATTTGCACGTAAGTGAATCTAACAAATTCGACTGGAATTCAAACTCGACTCTCCGATTTCTCATCCCGAGCCGTTATCCATTACACCATCCGCACATCCATAAATAATAAGAATTGACATAAACCATTGTGGGAGTTATTTTATGCTTCAAGAGATTTTAAATTCAATTTTATATAATTTTTTCTGTTGTTGTAAAAATGTCAACTTATAGTAGCAATAAACGCCTGCAATAGGTTTCTTCTGACTTTCGTCCTCAACCCCCGTAGCCAAATCCCAGTTCAAACGATAGTCCGTTGTAGCAGTCCAACAGGCAACGTAAAAACGACAAAATGGGGTCACAAATGTACTAGCAAAAACGAATGTTCGTCCACCAAGTTCGGAAAAAATCCTACGCTCTTAAGCGAAAAACAACGTCTCTAATTCACCGAGCTATTTTTCTGATTGGCCACGCCAGTCAGCGGGAGGGAAGAACATTAGCATAGATTCTGATACTTAAAGTAGCAGATTTTTTGCTAACTACTTTCGGTAATTTTTCTTCGGCAGATCACACACAAAATTCGAACTCTTTTTCGAGCGAGGAGATTACATCTTTCTTACAACAGTCAGTTAATAATATAAGAATTACCTTTATTTTCCGATTCGTATTTACCAAATCTTCCGCAACTAGAAAGCCTACAAAAAATCAGGAAACATTGATAAAATTGATTGATTTTTTTACGGTTTATCAACCCTTTGCTGGTTATTTAAAACCAGAAAATATTTTTATATTGTAATAATATTTTTGAGATAATGATTTAGAGATATGAGTATTACTAATTAACCCATACCTGGGATGAGAAGTGGTGGATTCATACCTTATCCATTACACCACCCGTACATCCAAGCTTACCATACGTAGTATTTCCAAGCGGTCATCCATCTAAGTACGGGCCAGGCTAGGCTTTGCTTAACTTCAGTGATCGTACAGGAACTAGTGTTTCATTGTGATATGGCCGTAAGCCTAACATTGATAAACGTCTCAGATTTAAACAATATACGCCTGTCTTCAAATTGTTATTGAAGTATTTGGGGAAGTCAGTTAAGAATTTATTGCAAAACCATGATAATTATATAGGAAATTGTAGGGACTCAATATTGTGTATCTCGTTTTGATTAGATACACATATGCTAGAAAGCCTTAATCTTACTTAAAAATATTAGCGTGTTCTGAAAGTGTACACTGCAATAAATTACGGACCAATCAACCAGAACATGATTTTTTTTAATCATTTCACCCCAAGCAAGGCAATAAAACGACTGATATTAATGCACTGAGAATCTTCCCAATTTTGTAGCAAAATACCTCATATTTATCCCAAATCATTTAAAAAATCAACTGGATGTTTTTTTATTAATCATTTCACCCCAAGTAAGGCAATAAAGCCATTAAGTCATAAGGGGTTAGATTATTAAAAAGCGAGAAGAAGAAAAGAAGAGGAATCAGGAAGACAGTAGATAACGTTTGAAATTTAAATTTTTGAAGATCAAAGTTGGCTGGAAGACAAGAAGTCGGAAGAGAGTTTCACAGGCAAGAAGTTCGAGAAAAGAATTTTTACCATAGAACTTACGGTTGCATCTAGCACATTCAACTGTACAACCATGTGAATTTTTTGCCAATCTACAACTGCGCTTAAATTCATAAAGTCTTGGTATATGATTAAATGGTAGGAAACTGCGTCTAGAATTACATTATCCGATAGTGTGTCATTTACAGTGCATTTCAGAGTTTAAACTCTGGAAAAATCTGTAAAAGTGTGTTTGCGTTCAATTTTCCACCATCTGCAGCATTTTATTTCAGGAATGCCAATTTTTCATTTTTGCATTGTATTGTTACAGGTGATGAAAAATGGGTTTTACATGTCAATGAAAAAGAGAAAATGTCAGTTGTTATCACAAAATAAGAAACCATTGTGAACACCAAAAGTAAAGATCCTTCTACAGATACGTTGCTTTATATCTAGTAGAGTTTGAAAGGTGTTGTCCATCACAACCTTTGGATCATGGAAGGTCCATCACGGAAAACTTTTATTTCCCGTAACCTAATTGTGTATATTATGTATCATTATCCTAAAAGGTCCGGTTTTTTGTTTAAATAGAAAAGGTGTTATTGCCCAGCATAAGCATGCTAGGATACACTCGGCACAAAAATCCCAAGAAAAAATAGCATTATTAAAATAGGAGTTCTTTTTACATCTTCCACACTCACCAGATTTAGAAACTGCAGATTTGCATTTGTTTTGATCACTAGAACATCCCATAAGTGGCAGAAGATTGAGAAGAATTTTCAGAAGAAATTGAAACCAATCTTGCAAACTCTTTTGAGGAAAAAAACAATCAAAAATTTCTTTCTCATTGATAATATAAGTGATTACGTTTTTTTTTATAAATAATATCTAAATAAATTTAATTTACAATTGTTTTGATATTGTTTCTGGTAAAATGTCATTACTTTCCGAACAGCCTAATTTAATTTTAAAGCTGTTATTTTTGTATTCCACTCTTTCATGGAGTTGATCTTTTCAGCTCCTGGTTCCTAAAAATTCCTTCAGCAGTCCTCTATTATCATAAATTCATTTTTGCATCACATTTTTACAGGTGATGAAAAATAGGTTTTGCATGTTACAGAAAATGGCAAAAACCATTATTATCAGAAAATGAGAAACCCGTGCCAATACCAGAGCAGTACATCATTTAAAGAAATCTTTGTTTTCTGTCTGTTAGAATATGAAATGTGAAAGGTATCATCCATTACAAAGTAGTGGAAGATGGGGAGGACCATTACTGCAATTTGATTGTACAAATGAAGCCTTATGTCAAAAGTATCTTACTTTCATAAACAGAAAAAGGGGATTATTTTCCAGTAGGAAACTGCAAAAAAGAAATCCAAGGAAAAAGAAAGATCATTACAGATGAGAGATCCTTCTACACTCGCCATATTTAGCAGTTACAGATTTGCATTTGTTTTGATCACAAGAACATCTCATAAGTGACAGAAGATTCAGAAACAAAGAAGAAATTGAAATCAGTCTTGTTTTTTTGGGGTGGGGGGAACAGAACAAAAAAATTGCTTCTTCATTTATAATATAAATGATTACATTTTTGATAAATAATATCTAAATAAATTTAACTTACAATTGTTTTGATATTCTTTCTAGTAAAATGTCATGACTTTCCGGACTTTCCGGAATTATAAGCCAAAATCATCAGGTCTATTACATTTATTTGGTAGGGAGTTATCTCCCCCTAAACTCGTCCGCTTCATTTTCTATCTATCCAGTTCTGATAATCTCCTCCTCTTTCTCTCTCTCTCTCTCTCTCTCTTTCTTTCTTTCTTTCTTTCTTTCTGATATTTATTGTTTATATGTTAAGTCTTCTTATCCATAATGTCATTGAATATACTAAACTGGGTTTTTAGCGAATGTCAAATTTTGTCCGACATCTTCCAAATTCAACAGCAATTTCTTTTGACCCCTGGCGAGCGTATATTTTTGAAAGGTTTTTTGAATATCATATCTCACTACTGATTCCTTTTCTTCAATATCTGGGAACTGCCATGGCTTCATGGACAAGACAGTGAAGTGATTTCACATCGCCAACTATATGCTTTTTTTAAAGTTATTGCTCCTACTAGATTAAATGCCAACCAAGGCTACAGTGCACAGTCTACCCTATTATTTAACACATATCTGAAGGAGAAAGTAGTGGATTCATGCCTTTCCCAAGGATATTTGCGCGAAAGTCAATACAAAAAACTAAACTTTATTAACATACCGATTAAAACGGTACATTGCCCAATTAAACTTAACTCGCGTATAAACTGAAAAATAAACTGAATAACATAACTATTTAATTAATATTTTAATTTCATATATATATATATATATATATATATATATGTGTGTGTGTGTGTGTGTGAGAGAGAGAGAGAGAGAGAGAGACAGTGTATGTGTGCGAGTGTGGCTAAAAACTGTAAAATCGAAAAGACTTTACAGCTTTCACCCACGCTTTTTAGCAAACAGTATGTTTGCGCATGCGTGAGTTAGTAGCCGAAGTTGTTTCTTATGCTTTGCCTAATTGTTTAGTGGCCATCTTATTTTATCTTTTTCTTAAAATTATTTTTGTCTTTTAAGATCTATCTTATTGTGTGTTACGCATGAAGCTAAGTAGATATAAATGCAAATGAATGTTTGTGTCGACATGTTCACAGACTTGATTTAAACGATTACAATTGAGGCAAGATTACCTCTTTCTTCAATCTACTCTTTATAATTCGATCTAATACACTTTCTTGCTTTATGCTTCTTTCTCTCTATCATATAAAAGCATGCACGCACAAAATGATTTGGTTTTTGAGAACAAATTTAATTTGCTGACAAACCGAGTCGAAACGAAGGTCTCATCATTTACTTCATCTTCTGCGTCGAACTCTATTTATAGATCATTTTTTGAATAACTTTTGCATTAGAGCCATGAAACATACAAGCGGCCATTAAAAGGAATATGTTTTGAAATTTCGCAATACAGCTACAACGATCCATTCAAATAAGTTGGTCATAATTGTAGTCAACAAAGGAAGAAAGTCAAAAAGCATTGACAAAGAATACAGTGGCGAGCAAAAATCAATTGAAATTTACAAAATTCGACAATGTACTTTTTCGGTTGGCATCTGTGGTCATTCAAGACTGTAATTCAAGTTATTGCATTCATATAGTCCCAGAACGAGAAGAGATGCAGAACTGGATGCATCTTGATATGGGAAATAAGGCATACAAGTGTTAAAAACCAATAAAGTAAATATAGAACTACCTGTTCGTATTGATAGAACAACAAATAAAATTACGCAAATTAAATTTAAAGACATTTCAAGTCGTAATCAGTAATCACCATAACTCCGATTGGCGCGAACTACAACCTTAACTCAACGTGGATAAAGAAATACAATTTATTTCCATTAATAATATTTTGCTATTCCTTTTAACAGTAAATCCAAACCCCTTTTAAGGTTTTTGTTTTTCTGTTAAACACCCGGATTTTCAATTCTCTCCACATAAGGTTTGTTTTTGTTAAAGATTTGGGCAAGTCACTCTCGCGACATTGTAATATTTTCATCATTAAGAAATGTCATTGCTACATGTGATGACTATCAAGGTGAGTTATCATATTGGAATATTTCATCTTCTGTTCGATCTGGGAACAGGTGAAACTTTAGCAGTAATATATTTTTCACTGTTCCGGGTTTTAACGAGTTTTATCAATTTTCTTGAACTGTGGCTTTTAATGTAGTCCCAGACTCTCAAACTGGTACCCCAGGGTTTTACTGTTTTCGTTTTGAATTATTTTCGCAGTAATTCCTCTTCGGTTATACTCTGGAATTCTGTATTCTTTTGATTTGTTCACTATATTTTTTAAGGCAATTCACCCCAAGCAAGGCGGGAGTATCACTAGCACGCAAGGGGGTTACAGAGGATTGAGACCAAGAGTAAAGAGGCGTCTTTGAGGAAAGGTTACAGAGAAGGACGGGGGAACAAGCTCAGGATGTCGATTGACATTACACTTGAATATTTGAAGATTATAATCATCGGGGAATCAACTAAGGGGAAGCAAGTTCCACAGACGGGAGAAGAAGCTGTTTGAGTAGAAGAGACGGTTACATTTAACCGTTTTAACAGTGAAAGGGTGGGACCGAGATGCCTGCCTGGTAGCACGTTTAAAGTTGTCTAGTCCGGGAACCAGCGAAAGTAGCTCGTCGGAACAGTTGCCGTGAAAATATTTGTAGAAGAGACAGAAAGAGGCGACAGCACGTCTGTGGGTTAGCGATCGTAGACTAGAT